GAATTTTTTTCCCCCTTGGATTTTCCCCACGTTGTTATTTTTAGTGCTATCAAAATTGATGTTACATTTATCAATGGTGCCATGGATGATTTCAAAAGTTTTCATTCATATAAGCCAAATAAATTCAAGCGGATTGCAGTGGGATACAGGTGGTGTGGTCCACCAGCTACCAACAGAACTGGTGGGAGACTCGGATGATGAGAAGTTTGGGGAGGAACTTGGGCCAGTTCTGAAGTCTGGGGAAGGCTCTGATGGACGCAGAGATAGACCCAGGGCCGTCTGACATTTTCTAGCCACCGGAGAGGCAGCTGCCTTTGAAGGCTGATATGAGGGAGGAAGCTGGGGCCTGTTCCAGATGCATGTATGCGCAGAGCTGTTAGGAGAGGTGAGCAACGGAGGACAAGGAGTCGACTTGGGAAGCAAAAAACATGTGGATGCTGAATGGCCCCTCCCTGGCTGGGGAATAAATAGGAGAAAAGGGGAGTGGTTGTCATAGGAGACAACTGTTCGTATTTCTGAAGGTTTTGCTCATTGCGTTTGTGCTACAAAGACTGCTTGTCAGAACTTAATTTGCAACCTTTATCGCAAGGAACTGATAAGGTCTGTACTGTAGTTAACCCCTTGAAGGACTATGGCCTGGACTTTTTGGTGGGTGAATGCAATTAATTCACAAGAGGTAAATAAAGAGGGGAGTCTGTTTCTTGTTTTTGCCAAGGCTGGGTCAGAACAACAGGTACTCCTCAATGTACGACTTATACCTGAGCCCAGAATTTTCAGCTGTACATTGTGCTGGTTGTGGCTGATCTGATTTCATGATACCAAGTCATTAAGCGAATTCCATGGTTGTTAAGAGAACCCATTCTCCAAAATGGGCACTGCCACGAGTAAACTTCATTTCCAGCCAAAATAAATTGGACCACGGGATGCTGCAAATGCAGGCCAGATGCCCAATATGTGATCATGTGATCACTGGGGGTGGGGGAGGGACGGATAACCATTGGAACCTTGAATCTGGGTCCTAAGAATCATTTTGTGGGTCTGTCATAAGTGGTCACTAAACCACTGGTTATAAGTCAAGAGCTACCTGTTCACGCACAATAAATAGTGACATAGTAAGGTAGATACATCCGAGATGCAATCCACCAGAGGTTCTTAGGAAAGCCGGAGATTCAAGATAATGCCACTCTTAGTGAATGAGAAATGGGGACCTCTTTCTGCCATATCCAGTCCAGGTCGGAATGGAATAACAGAGTTGGGAGGGACCTTGGAGGTCTTCTATTCCAACCCCCTGCTTAGGCAGGAAACCCTACACTACTACAGACAAATGGATATCCAACATCTTCTTAAAAACTTCCAGTGTTGGAGCATTCAAAGCTTCTGGAGGCAAGTTGTTCCACTGATGAATTGTTCTAATTGTCAGGAAATTTCTCCTTAGTTCTAAGTTGCTTCTCCCTTGAATAGTTTCCACCCATTGCTTCTTGTCCTGCCCTCAGGTGCTTTGGAGAACAGCTTGACTCCCTCTTTGTGGCAGCCCCTGAGATATTGTAACACTGCTATCATGTCATCCCTGGTTCCTGGGTTGGACTGGAAGACCTCCAAGGTCCTTTCCAGCCCTCCGATTCTATTCTATTCTGGAGGCAAGTTGTTCCACTGATTAAATCTTCAGCAACTGACCTGCCCTGACCCCATGGAAGCCATTTCCCCCAACCATGACGCTGGAAAAAGTTAAGTCCCAACCTCCCCGGCTGAGTTTCTTCAGGATGAAAAGAAACTCTTCCCCTTCCTTACCTGTAGGCCTCATCTAAGGACATATCCATCCTTTTCATTATATAGGCAATGGCAATCGTGGCCGAGCGGGAGATTCCGGCTAAACAGTGGACTAAGACGCAACCGTTTGAAGCTTTGGCTTTTTCTGTGGCAAGCAAAGAGAAACAAAAATTGATCTCTGCTCTAAAAAGGAGGAAAATCTGAAGTTCCCCTGCACGTAAGATCATCAGACACATCTTTGTTGGTGGGGAAAGCCGAGAGACAGACTATCAATTATCAGTTGAAACACTGACTTAAAATAATTGTATTTTAATGTCAACGGTTAGAGTCAGTTGCATCTTGCATCAAATCACGAGGTCCCT